AATTAGATAATAAAATATACTTTATTCTGTGTTGGCCCTGTCATCAGGAGATTGCGAGTTCGAGAGTCCAAGAGAGCCCAATTGGCCTCGCTCTCTTTGGGTGGGTAGGATATATATTATTCAGTACTATTTTTAATAACTCTAAATACAATATCTGTCTAAATAATCTAAATATTATAATGTTGTAATATATACATTTTTTTCTCCCACTCCTCATATTTTTATGCACCTTTAGTTCTGGAGCTCCTCCGGCAACTTTTTTGTGTTTTCACTTCTCTACACTCTCGGCTGACATGGCTCATAACAATGATGGCGTGAAACAGATGTTCGATTAGGAAAAAAACAAAAAATGCCTGGTTTCATGAGCCACTGCAGTGTACAGTCAGAGAGATGCAGTGAGGAGCTCTCCATGGTGCTGAACGTTACAGCAGGCCAACAACAGCAGTCCTAGACCTGCCATTTCACACCAGCAGCTTTAGGACCTGCCCTGCTTTTAGGTTTGTTCCCCCTAGTGGTTTAGGTGAGGGCCATTTGGGCTATGTGTTTATGCTAAAGGTATTAGCTAGCTTGACAAGAAAAAGTAGCTAACAATTAATAGAATTAAATTACCATCTTAAGTAGAGGCTGGGTGGACAGCTAAACAATACTTAAGTACATATAAGCTATATACATATATATAAGTATATATAAGCTGTACTAGCTACTTAAGAGTGATGCATACACAACAATAAGCTCTAACTGGTATGCTAGTGTGAGGAGTACGCTAAGTGTTATGTGTTGTGCTATCATAAGTATTATGGAAACATGTTATCTGTTATGCTAGAATAAGTGTGAACACAATTGTTGCGTGTTATGCCAACATAAATGTTATGCTAACACTGGTGTTCTGTGTTATGCTATCATCTTATGCGAACGCAAGCACAGCACTAGCTGCCCTAAGTGGTATACTGTCATAAATGTTATGCTAACATGAATGCTACGTGTTAAGCTAGCATGAATGCCTCAGTTTAATACCAGCTTTTCATCACAGAAGCTTGCCGTGGCAGCTTTAATACCTCCTCTGCATTATGTGAAGACACCGCAGAGTGGTTTCGTACAGAAACAGGGCTCGTTTGAGTGAAGCTGCAGTAGCTTATGTCTCTTAGACACTTAGAAGTATTTGGGGTTTCGTAACTATGAAAGTTTTGTGTAAATTTTAGCTTAAGGCCATAACTTTACCAGAAATAACAGTCTAGACATTTCCCTCTCACACAGAGGAATCCAGTCAAGATATGAGTTCGATAATAATGAATTTGCTGTGTTAATTTCTTAACATCGGTATTGTGCAGCAGGCTGGGTTTGATCTGTTATTGGCAATTAGCAGGTACCTGCTAAAAGCCTCTCTTCAGAAAAACATGCACACACACACACACACACACACAAACACACTCTTTCTCTCTCACACCTGCTTCTCCAGCTCTATTATTTGTGTGCACTGAAAAGAGCTCTTCAGATAGAATCTGAAATAAGATTAGCTTGAGCTTTAATGTAGTGATCAGTTACGCACTATAGGTAGTAAATATATCCCATATACTTGTGTGTATATATATATATATACATGTGTGTGTGTGCGTGTATATAAAATATATGCATTTGTAAGTGTCTATATTTAATAACTATGTCCCATATGTATTGTAATAACAAATAAGTAATAAAATATGTATTACATATGTAAGTACCTATATACAATTATAATGTCCCCTATGTATTATATATGTAAGTACCTATATAAAATTACAATGTCCTATAAGTGTTATAAATCTAGGTACCTATATATAATATAACCTTGTTTCCAAAAAAGTTGGGACACTTTTCAAAATATAAATAAAAACAGAATGCAATTATGTGCAAATCATTTAAACCCAATGTTTAATTGACAATAGTACAAAGACAACATATCAAATGTTGAAACTGAGAATATCTTAAAAATGTGTGCCCATTTTGCTGGCAGGGAAAATAAAGGCTGGGAAAGTTGTGTAATGCTGGCACACCTGGTGGAACTCAACTAATTAGGTGAACAGGTCAGTAACATGACTGGGTTTAAAAAAAGCATCCTAGAGAAGTTGAGTCTATCAGAAGTAAAGCTGGGGAGGGGTTCACCACTCTGTGAAGACTGCACAGGCAAATAATGCAACAATTGAAGAATAACGTTTCTCAATGTAAAATAGCAGAGAACCTGGGGGTTTCATCATCTATGGTGCAAAATGTTATTTAAACGATTCAGAGAATCCAGAAAAATCCCTGCATGCAAGGGACAAGGCCAAAAATTAACATTGGCTGGCCCTGATCTTCAGGCCCTCAGACAGCTCTGCATTAAAAACAGACATGATTCTGTAGTGGAAATCACTGCATGGGCTCAGGAACAGATCTGAAAACCACTGTCTGTGAAAACATTTCCTTGCTGCATCCACAAATGTTAAGACTCTAATATGCAAAAATTAAATATATAAACAGGATCCAG